ACTGCTTACGTCGCAGCGGGCTGGGCACCATATTCTTTCTGTTATTCTGTAAAGGAACGAATTAAAAAATCAAAGCTTCTCGCTTTTAAGGATGTACTACATGTATTATTTCATAATAATATTTTAAAATTACAAAAAAGTTATATGTAACGATAAATAATGCAAAAGGGCAAACTTGAATCAAACGCGAAATGCGGTTGATAAATAAAAAATTTACATAGAAAGATTAAATCAAAGTCAATATTAAAAGTAGGTAAAGAAATTTCGAACGTTTCGATTATATCTTTGGACCATCTTCAACGTATATATCATCGCAGAGTCATAATGTACGATTAATCCATTAATCCAAGGAAAGAATTACAGATTGTTTTATGTTGTATTTGAAAGTGATACGAAAAGTTTGGTGGCGATTTAAAACGTAATTAAAAAATTATTTATATAAAAATAGGCATATTTTAAAAAAATAAGATAAATAAGAAAATTTTCATTTAAACTATAAAATTGTATTGTTAGATATAAATTTGATCTGTTTTTTACGAATAAACATTCATTTTTATGTAAAAAGTATGAATTTTCAATTCCAGTCACTTTTCGCAAAGACTGTACAACTAATACATCTTTAAATAGATTTATCATATAAATAATGAGCAAAAATAATAAACAAATAAACAAACAAAGAAAGTGAAGAGTCGAGAAATCCAGAAATAACTTTTAATTTATTCCAAAATTCAGCCGTCGGGCACAAAATTAATTTAATAAATACTTGGGTAAATAAAAGAAATAAATATAAAATCCATGAAAGCTTAACAGAAGACAGAGAGAATAAAAATCAAGCAAAATAAAGTTGGTTTGCCTGATTCTTCTTTTAATGTAATATAGCGATATTTAACATTTTATTTCTTTTTCAATGTTTTACCACGAGAAATATCTCTTGAATCCCGCTATACCAGACATTCTTCAGAATTCGCCGATTGGCGACGATCTGACGAGCGATTAGAGTGTGAAAATTCGTCAGATCCCAGCTTTCCTTGTGCACGACGACGTGCTCCAAATTGATCAGCCGAAATGGACTGAAAGAATCGACGTTATTCGCTAGAACAAGTCACGACAGCGCAAATCAAACGTGTTCATAATTCCGATCGATACCTGAAATCGCGAGCCCACTGCTCCAGAGTCATTCGCATGCAGGGATTTATCAAATACAGATCGGTATGCAGAATTTCGCGGCAGTGCTCTATCTGCTTCCGTGAGTCCGGCAGAATATACCGCTCGTCCTCCTGAATCATGTCAAACTGCAACGCGATCGGCACAATTAAATCGCCGACGGCAAGAACTCCGATCTCTAGTCTACATTTCGCAGTTTACAAAACAAGCATCGAGACAATGAAATAAAATAAATCAACGTTCACAATACATTTTTGTTACTACAACAGTTATCTACATATGAATCGGATTTCAGTAACTCCGTAAGTAAAAAAATCTATTTTTTGGAGGATTGAAAAAATGTTCTAATTTTTAAAACTGCAATGCTAAAAGTAATTAAAAATTGTAAAAATATGTGTAAATTGTCTTATTATCTCACGTATTAATTTTGAATGGAACATATCGCTTTTAAAATCTATTTCTTAAAATAACTAAAAATGAATATTAAAATATTAATTACTTATGTCGTTTTTTAAGAAAGTGAGCATTTCCATACATATGACACAGGATTTTTTAATTAGGAAATTCTGTAAATGTAATGACAGTCTTCTAGACGTTATAAAATAACAGGTTGTATAAATAAACGACATTATAATAAAATAAACGATATTTAGCTTTATTGTTAAATAATATACAAAAAAGTACAAAAAAAGTAAACTCATAACTCATTAAATTCCAATATGCTACAATATTTCATTAATGAGTGTATTTTTATTGTATAATGTAAGAAGACTTAAGTCACTATATTGTGTCTCACACTAAATTATAATAAACTTGATATCTAGGAAAGAAATACTCGATTAATGTGGTTTTTAAAGAAAATCATGTATCTACCTCCTGATTCTGAATCCCCTGATATCTCAATTTGGACAAAAATCGACTTACATGATTTCTGAAATAATCGATTCAATGTACGTTGAGATAGAAAATCTTGTGTCACTGAATATTTGAAATTTAAAATTCTCAGATTTCAATGTCCGATTTAAATGTCTATTTTTAATAAACGTAAGCCTTAATATTTCACATTGAAATATTATTCGACATTTTTCTTATACTTGAGAATCTTGTCGATAAAATATTAAGCTTATCTTCAATTACTTCCGATCTGATTTTATTCTCAAATTGATATAGAAGTCTCATTTATAATCCGATCTTTCTTCCGATAGCCAACCTGTGATGGATGTTCCTCGAAAGGATCCGCGAGCGCGAACTCGACGATAGCCTTCTTCATGTTCTTTGTGAAGTCCTCCTTGATCTCGAGGATCAGATCACCGGCAAAATCGGGAAATTTCACCCGTAGGCTGCCGGGAACCAGATCGAGTATCGCCTCGACGAAAACGTCCTCGATGCTCACCGTGCGAATTGTATCGACTCCGTTGCAAATGTAATAATAATATCTATTGACGTCCTTATCGTCACTCAGATCCACATCCATTTCCAGTTCTGGTTTCACTATCAAACCCACCATAAATCTAATCGCAAGGATCGAGATTCATTTAAAGCTTCGAACTTCTTCCAAGAGAATAATACAATAATTAATCGGGTATCATTATATTTTCTTAATTCGCATTATTAATAACATAAATCGTTTCACTTTATATTAAGTAATTGGTTTAGCATCTGTTGAGTAATTAGTTTTCATCCCTTAATATATCCTCATACATTTAACATTTTTTTATAATTCAATTCAAATTTAATTTTTTATTATAATAATTTTATAATTTTATTAAGTTAATATAGTTACGTAGATTTATATAAATTAAATAATTCAGATTTAATTATATTTACGTTGACTGTGCCACATGTTTAGATCTGACGTAAAAAAAATACTTGAAAACTTATGTTTAATTACTGCCTTGACTTTGATTGCACCGAGTAAATATTCGGAATTATTTGGACATACAAATTTCGGATTTGCTTTTTGTACCTGCGAAACTTCTCCTCGCGAAGGCGTTTCACTGTGTGAGGTGCGCCACGCAATTTTTGTAACTTTCCTTTAATTAGCGCCTCTCCTTTCCTCTTACATCTTTTAGGACTCATCAAGTCCGACGGTAGAGAAAACAGCGGTTCCACCTTCGTGTCGAGGATCTTCGGTATTCGAATCGCATCCTCGGATTCGTACCTTCGTGCCTTCGTTTTTTCCAAACGAGATGAAACTTCCATAATCAATCACAATTATGACAATTAATGTCACAATTATGCGACATTTAACAGAATTCTAATTTATCTCTGGAAAATATACAATAATATCACTGTTCGCGAAACTTCAAGCAATTTAATTCATACACGACCTTTCTAGAATAAAATATTTTAATATTGCTACGAATATTAATTAAATCCCGAATGACAAAGCGCGAAATTACATTAAATTATAAACACGCGTCAGGTATACATTTGAGACAGAATATTTGTAAAATATGCAACTAGATAATTATTTCATATAACTTTCGGTTATTATTGACGTTAAAATTAAAACATATTTTTACGGATTTGATCTCAGATAAGTTTATTCATCTCAAAAATTTATTCAGATAAATAAAATATTTTATTTAAAAATGCTGTGTTACAATTATAATAAAACTATAATAATGTTGTGAAAATAATATCAAATGAGGGATATAATAGATATTATATAATAGATAATATAATATAAAATAATATAAAAATATAGGAAAATGTAACCAAATACAATATAACGTAGGTAGATACTTAAAAAAGAATATGTCATTTTAAGTTATGTTAAGTATATAGTTAAGAATACATTTCTAACAATATACAAAATATATAATATATAATAACATTAAATAAAGAAGACACAATAACATTACTACAATGTAATTATTAGTTTAAATTAGTTCTATATGAATTGGAACATTTTTCAGAAATACTCAGAAATATTCGGAAAGTTTACATCTTTTCTCAGAATTTTTCAATTGAATTCTGAAATATTCTGAAATTTCTCATTCAAATATTTTTAAATTTTTTAGATTTTATAATATCTCATCAGAAATTATACTTACAAAAATTCTTAGAAATCTTACGATATTTTATAATTAACATATATGAAAAGTTCTGAGAAAAGATGTAAATTTTCTGAGAAATGTTCCAATTTGTATAAAAAATGAGAAAGTTATAAAATTATATAGAAATTCTGTGAAAAATTATTCTAAAAAATTATATGAAAAACTCTGAGAAAAATTTCCACCAGGGAACACTTACCCAAACAATTTATAATTGCAACAATTATTATTTCAAAATATTTAGAGAGCATTTTTTCTCAAAATTTTTATACAAATTGAAACACTTTTCAGAAACACTGGAAAAGTTTATACCTTTTTTACGTATAAATTCTAAAATACTCTACAATTTTTAAGATTCCTTATTTTATAATTTCTGAAAAAATATCTTAAACTTTTTCAAATTTTATAATATTACAGAGAAATTATAGAATGAGAACTTTTAGAAATAAAATATTTCAAAATTTATATACATGAAAAATTAAAAAAGAAATGTACTTTCTCGGCATTTCTGAAAAGTGTTCCAATTTGTATAAAAAAATCTGAGAAATTTTCTTATAGATAAAACAATTTTGAAAAATTCTAAAATTTATATAAAAATTCTGAAAAATTATATAAAAAATTTTCACCAAGTACTAAAAGGGGACAGAGGCCTCGAAAACGCCCTCTTGATGGAGAAATGATTACGGATTTGTGGTGTATTCTAACCTTCAAACACGGTGAGTGTTTTGCACCGCTGAATCGCCGCGAAATAGCTCTAGATTTGCGAAATCAGCTCGGTCTGCCACGAATATTCGCAGACTAGCGTCTCGCGTAATTAACAGCCAAATTGATCCGCATTCGTGCGAGCCACGCGTGTCCTCGTGTCATTCATGCATCCGGAGATTCTCAAACTGCACCCTCGATCGCAGTTTCTAGGCAACGTAGGCGATCGATTCGGCAGAGTTAACGAATCCCCCGAACCTCAGTGAAATCGGCGAGCGAAGACAGTCCTCGCATTCGCATCTCTTTCCTGTTTCCCCTTCAGCGAGAAGCAATCCGATCCTGCGTGCGATTCTCTTTTAGGTTATGTTTCAGGAACCACCTGCGTCTCGATTGTCGCGGTAGCCTGAGACCCAGAACGGCGCGAAATGTCACGATGTGACCTTGCGATTTCCTCGAGAATTTACATAATCTGATTTTTCCTTCGTGACACATTTTCTTTCCTATACTCAGCATTTGTATCAAACGGAGTTGGTCGTATCAAAGGATCTCTGTGAGGATAAATTTTACACCTTTGATATGTCATAACTCAAAAACACTCCATTATTGATAGTATCTATGATCATCTTTTGTTCATCATATTATAAGTTATATTTCTATACCACATTTTATCCAAGAGATGTCTTAGGAATATCCTTAGAATGTTATAGCTTCAGGACGCAGCTGTTTAATGCTTTGGAGCTGATATCAAAATCTATAATACGTTTACTATTAAATCTGTGATGTCCATTTAGTTTATATTAGTCAAAAGGCACTAATTAATTTCAAGAAGTTCAAAACTCGTAACTTGTTTGGAAAGAATCAATACCAAGTGTATCTTAATAAAGATAATCGATAAGACTCCGCACGTATAATCATGTGGAAAATTAGATCCCTGCGTTCAACAGAAAAAAAAACAGCTTTACAAGTTTTAAGATTCTGCAATATGATTGGTGATACATTTGGATCCAATGAGGAATTGAGAACAAGACCAATTATATTAAAGAATTTTACAACAATACAAAGCTGCTTTTGTTGTTAAACACAATCATATAATTCCACATAGCATATATCTCCAAGGAACATCCTAAAGACGTCCCTATATTTTCTAAATATTCTGAGGACATTCCTAAGACGTCTCTTGGATAAATGTGCTTATAAATGTAGGAATATAACTTGTAATATGATGAACAAAAGATCATAGATAGATATCAATAATGGATAATTTTTGAGCTGTAATGTATCAAAGGTGTAAAATTTATCCTCACAGAAATCCTTTGATAGATCATAGCTAAAAAGTTATCCATTATTGAGTTATTATTTATGTTTGACATCTTTTGTTCATTATATTATGAGTTACAGCATATATGGAAACTAACTTATTTTATCAGAATCCAATTTTTCATATTATTAGTGGATGTAACATTAAGAAAATTAAATTAACATATATTGATAATAAATTATTTATTACCGCAGAAATTAATTTAATATATGTTTTAGATGATTCCGGCTCAGATATTCCGCCTAATTCACACAAATGGCCTGCTTTGGCAGGCCACAAATAAATCTCTGCTAGCTAAGCTGCGCAAGAAGACTGGCTACACATTTGCAAACTGCAAGAAAGCTCTGGAACTAAACGAGAATGATTTGGATAAGGTAAGAGGCTCTACGACTGCTTAAGCATGCGTCCTGCGACTCTAATCGACTTACGACGGAATCTCTTAGTTCTTCCTTACTCCAGGCTGAGAAGTGGCTGAAAGAACAGGCACAGCAGTACGGTTGGACCCAGGCAGCCAAGCTGAAGGACCGCAGCACCAGCCAAGGACTGATCACGGTGACAGTAGATGGGAATCATGCCGCACTGGCCGAGATTAACTGCGAGACTGATTTCGTCGCGCGGAACAAGAAGTTCCATAGTCTTGCAGAGGCAGTGATCTCCGCTGTATTGAACCATGCAAAATCCCAGGACGTTCAGAACGAAGTACAACGGACTATTTTCCATGCAGACAGTCTCAAAGACCTGCCAGCCGCAGACGGCAAGTCTCTGAGTGACCATTCTGCCTTGACTATCGGCAACGTAGGCGAGAATATCAGTCTGAGGCGCGCTCTCGCCATCAGCGTACGATCGCCGGATGTGACACTGTTTGGCTGCACTCATCCAGCACCGATGAATCCTATACCTATATCCTTCGGCAAATACGGCGCCCTTGTAGCCATCAAGTGCGAGAACAACGATAATATGCTGGGCACGCAGCTTTGCCAGCATATTATTGGTAGGTTTTATCTGTCACAGGGATACTCTTGATGCTATAAATCAGGCCTTTATAGTAGGAGCTCTGGAGCTCAAATTGGACAGGCCTATTTATAGTAGGCCTGTCCAATTTGAGCTCCAGAGCCAAAACGCAAGGTTATCGATGCGGAAAAATTCAATTTGGGTAAGATTTTGGAGACTAAAATGTTGATACGTATCTGAGTGACACTTATCAACACTTTGGTCTCTGAAATCTTACATTGAAAATTTTTGCGTTGGCTCCGGAATTCAAATTGGACAGGCCTAAAATAAATGCTTTGAAACATTCTTTTATTGATCAGTTAGTAAAATTCTTTCTTCTGGTTGGTCAATTAAACTTTGAAGTATTTGTAGCGTTAAGTGGACTGCACCTTGGATAATTGGATTGAAAAAATAAAGGACGACATTCACATTGTTTCTTCTTTGTAGGCATGGATCCGCAGAAAATCGGTAACCCGCAGGTGGATGAACCGCACGACAATATGGACGAGGAGCAGTGCATGATCTATCAGGAATTCCTGCTCGATCCTAGTCTTTCTGTGCAGCAGTTGCTAACGGAAACGCATGCTGAAATCGTTGACTTCGCGCGTTTCGAGATCGGTGAGGAACTTGACGAGGAGTCACCACTAAAGAGCGCTCAGACTTGCGGCTGATGTCAATTGCAATGTCCGTAAATATCTGATTGTTTCTTATTATCAACCATTAATATTAATTTTCACGATATTACTTTAATTATGAAATCGAAGAAGAATAGAGATCGTGTGAACACAAATTTTTAAATTGTTTATATATCTTTAACAACAAACGTTTATAAAACGATATTACAAAAACAATAGGCAACTAAGAGCTAGTACACAGTTATTATTAATGTACGTTACAATTCTTCTTTATTCTTCACCTATACATATATTTCCGACGTTTCGGCTGCTTTTTTCAGCCATTTTCATGGTATAACATTAGGCTTAATAATCCAAAAATTTTAATGCAATTGTTCTGAATGTAGGCGCAATTAGTCAAGCCAGAGTAATTCTCCATTTGATCATGCGAACGGCTCTTCTTAACAAGTCAAGATTTGTAAGATCAACCAATCTTACATGATCAAATGACTGAAAAAAGCAACTGAAACGTCGGAAATATGTACAGGTGAAGAATAAAGAAGAATTGTAACGTACATTAATAATAACTGTGTATTAGCTCTTAGTTGCTTATTGTTTTTTTGTAATATTGTTTTTAATATTGAGAGCTTGATTAATTTATATTGTTTATAAAATGTTTACGAAAAAAAGATTAGATTAATATTACTCTCAACTTTGCCATTATGTATAGTGTATCGCATTATTGTAATAAAATCGATGATAGTCTAGCATAAAATTTAAAGCATCATTATTTCATTAAATCTTTTGACGTGTACAGTTTGAAAATTTCAAATTTGTATTAAATTTAACACACACACATATTTCATGGTTTACCCAAATATTTGTATTAATTTACTAACAAGATGAGTATGTTAGAAAGATATAAACATTATGTAAAAATTATTTCTTGAATAAAATTAACAGTTATAATATATTAAATTAACTCGAATATGTTAAAAATTTGACATAAATATATTTTAACAAGATTTTGACACAAGTACAAAAATGTTTTTATTGTATCAAATTTTAAGATTCATCACGGTCATAAAGAATTAAATTATTATACCAAAATCAAAAATTCATATGAATGTTTTTCATTGCATTTTTTTTGTTTCCTTTAATGTTTCTTTTTTATTATTTGATTAATTCGATAAAAATGAAAGAATATTTCATACTAGTCACCAACATTACTTGAATATTAAAATGAAAAAAATATAAAAAAGTAAAATTACGATTCGAAAATTGGTATGTACAGTTAGATAAAAGTATACGCTACGAAAGATTCTCGCGATACAAAGTGCTTGCAGAAGCAACCTTTGCTTTGATATTTTTCAGCCTCCTCGCGAGCCGGACCGATTTCCACAGCCACATCCGAGAATCCTTCTTCCAATAGGGTGCGATATCTGCAGGGGAATGCCGGGTGCCCTGCAGGATAAATCCTTTCCTCAATCCTTTCCTATGAGTCTTAATTTTTAATTCTTTTCTGTACAGTATGCTCTTTAAATTAAATACATGTATAATAAATAAACGTATCCATATACAAAAAATTAAATATACAAAACTACTTTAAATTCTTGTGTTCTGTATATTTTTTTTATTATATATTATTACATATACTATACCTTTTTAATATTCTTGAGAATAATTTATTTAATTCTTTTTGAATATCTCTGACAATATATTTTTACATAAATGTTGAGTTTTGAAAAATCAATCTGTTTTCTGAAAGATCAAGTTATGGATAAATTATGGATAAATAAAGACGTTCATACCTGAAAAATTAAGATTTCTGGTCCCTGGACTACCAATTCGAAGGTAGATTTTTCTCTCGTCTTGAAAACTGGAACGGTTTCCTCCTGCTCGGAATCATTGAAGTAATCCGTCTGCATGTAATTTGTTCTAAAGCCTGGGTGATTTGTCGTCTCAAGCTCCAGACTCTCCAAAGCGGACGTGAAATTCCCAATATCCTTGCAAGTCCCAATTCCAACCTAAATAAAGTTTCATCAAGAAAACGCAATTATTTTCATATTAAAGTGTTTAATTTGGATGGATATAAAATTGAAAAGAAAAACTGTACATCAGCAGCTCGTAATTTTAAAAGAATTAATTAAAAATTATATTTACTAATTTATTAATTTTTCAATACATAATATTTTTTATTTTTTATTCTTAATTAATTATTATGTATATTATATGTTTTTTTATATTTGTCAATTCATTGAAAATTTATCCGTACAGCCGTTTTAATTTAAAATTGAAATAAAAAATAAAATTGGTTTAATTAAAAAATCGAAACTAAATAACAATAATTAAATGAAATCGTTATAGTTATAATTATAGATGGAATTAAATTGCTTTTAGAAATTTGATTTATGAACATGTTTAATTTCAATAAACCTGAATTCCTTGGGAGCAAACGTTATGATCCAGAACTGCAGCAGCGACAGCATCCTTCGTCCTCTCCGCGGGATGATCGTTCTCATCCCACTTCAAGTTCTCGACTGTCCGGAAAGAGAAAGTGCACGTTGTATGTTACAAGGAGGTTCGCAACGAGCGTCTCTCTACCTCGATGTACCGCTCGATTGATCCGATTCCTCGTTTCGCCAATCCATCCTCGCGCCGTCGAAGGGTGGCAAGACGGAGGCAGCCCTCTGACATTTGTCGACGAGACTCGCATCCCTCGCTTGCCGCCTTCGAGCTGTCAGGGAAAAATGCGCAGCGAGCGCACTTTGTTTCAAGGACCGGATCGAACTGAATTTATATGGCTTCAGGAAACTCGATGCTCGATTAAAAGAGACCCTCCTGTGCTGAGATTAGACAGAGAATAGTACAAAGAATAATATATATCTATACTTACGTCTTGTACATATGTATATAATGCGATATCAAAATGAAAAAAATGAGTATTATTTTTTACATCTTTTTCTGTTAAAAAAAATATACTTTAACTATTAACTATGTGTTACGTATGTATATATTGTTACGTTATTTATAATATTTATATTATAGGATAATTGTAAAGCTTTTGTGCAACTTTAATCTTTTGTAACTTAAATAACTTAAATAACTTCAACTCTATAAAAAAAAGTAACAGAGTTCATTTCAATTTTACATATATTTATTCTTGAGACTGTATTTTTCAACACATCCGCCAAAATTCTAAAAGATCCATATTTTTTATATCAGTCCAATTTAAAATTTAGGGAATTAAACAACTCCTTTAAATTTATTGGGGTTGGGGGTATTTCCAAAATATTAGATTTTTCAAAAACTTATGAATATACGGTTATAAAAAATTATTAAAAACCATAAAAGTTTCGTCTAAAAAAAAAATATTTACACCTCACAATAACGAACCAAACATTTTACTAATTTTGATATCTGCGTGTAATAATTCTTATTATTTTGTTAACCCTATATTGAAGGCGAACAAAGGAATCGAAACGTCTGTATTTAACTTCTACAAATACATATAACTTTTACAGAATTCCATCAAGTGGCTTTCACGAACCTTATTTAATGTAACGATTTCTTTTTGCTCGAAGTCTTTGTGTTTACACATTTTTCATTCAACCTGCTCTATCTCTGTCCAATCACGATTACGGTTCCCCATTGATTCTGCCAAGATCTATCCCAGCTTCTTGCATTCTTACGAGAAGCGCGTTTAACGCACGTAGAAGCGGAACGGACCGCGCGAGGGGCCCATTACGTGTTCTAGGACGTGTAATAAACCGCCGTGCTCTATCTATCCGTGGCGAGGTAACGTTGGAAAGGCAGCGGACCTCGGAACAGGTGTGCACGTGTGTGCGTTGTGCCTCACGGCAGCGGCGGCGCGCTCGCGCTCACGCAGGTACCACGTATTCATGAGGCCGCAGCTCGTCCTGGGCCGCCTGCCGTTGCCGGTCACGGCTGGCCGGCCGGAGTTCCGGGGCCCACTTCCGGACACTCGGCCGTACGGCACCGCGCCGATGTGGTCTCGTTTTCAGCCCGGGGAATATCTGTTGTTTCGCAGTGTACAGTTAGCCGCCGCGCATCATACGCGAGCGGAGCTCGCGCGTCCTGCTCCTTCGCGCGTGTCCCTCTCCGCAGTCCGCGTGGTAGAAGCGATTTAAATGGGCCCCGGCTTCTCCGAGCCACGAGACACCACAGAACAATGGACTTTCCCAGGCGGGTGAGTGAGATCGTTCCGTTCGCGAGTCGCTCTCGGATCTCTACGATCGCACGGGGCGTTTTTAGAATCTTCGGCTTTAGGTTTTCCGGACTCCTTACGGCCCTCGTAGAAATTTAACGCTGGTACCGGCCAATTAAGTACTTGTTTTATTAAAGGTATTGTTAAGAGTACTTTTAGTACTGAAAATAAGTGACTAACTGGCTAGTATTAGTATTGAATTTTTATAAGGGAGAAATCTACTGGCCAATACTGAATATTTTAAGTATCAAGAGCACTGTTGTTCGATACTTTTAATACTCCAAATAAGTATTTAATTACTGTCTTTCAGTAATTAATTAACCAGTATAGATTTCTGTAGGGAGGGCGAGTTAAACTCATAATGTCAAATTTTATACCCAATTTCAATTATTTTCTACACAAAATCTGTTCTTATTTTAAATGTCTGAAAAAAATTAATTGATAAAGATAGTGTTTCTACATAAAACAAACACAAAAAGTGTAAGCCATAAATATAATTTTGCCTGTTTGGAGAAATAATGTTGAAGAAATCGATTCGCCGAAAAAAAAGGCATTAAAAAGAAGCACAAAGTATATTTTTCATGAATAATGTTTCTACATAAAATCTGTTAATATTTCTGACAACTTTCTGAAAAAATTATTCAACAAAAATAAAGTTTCTACGAAATATACACAAAAGAAAATGCAAGGAAGAAGATCACAAATATACTTTTGCCTGAAGGAATGATAGTGAATCAATTAACCGACCTTCGTATTTAATTCTGTAGTTGGTAGATAAATCGTCGAATACCTTCGAATAGGTCGAACCTTTAATTAATCCTCCGGAGCTGACGCCAAAATTAACACAGTTACTGACATGTCTAAAACCCCATACAGCACAGACGGGACATCCCTTAAATAAAGTAGAACATTTAATTTATGTTAATTAAAAGGCACTGATTAATTTAAATAAGAAATTTAAGGAACTCAAATGATTTTTATAACTCGTATAAAAAAGAATTAATACTGTAATAAATGTATATTTTAACACAAATAATTCAATTTTGAGGATACAATACAAAGAAAATAGAATTGTTTTTTTTTTTACCATTTCTATCTGTTTCATCATAAAATCTTTGAATCTAATTCTAGAGAATGACAAAGAATGACAATTGAGCCAGTGTTAAAAAAGAGTGGCTTAATTGTCAATTTTTAAAAGTGAAATATTAGATTTTCCACTTCAAAGATTTTAGAGAGATTGACCGAATGGAAAATAGACCCACGATTGAGAATTAAAAAAGAAATAAAAATCATGTGCCCCAATACCGAAATTCTACTTCTCAATTCCGCAGCCTTCACCTCACCTGTTACAC